TAGGGGGCGCGCACCGTGGAACCTCGGCGAGGTCGGCTCCTTGCGGGGTCTGTGCGGCCTGTGTGACTAGAAAGAAGATGGAGCCAAGAGCCGAGCCTGAGGGGCGGCTCTGACCTTTCTGACCGAGGTCCTGCGCCCTTTCGCCGCCAGGAGCCTCCTTCCTCTCCGGACTAGTGCGTTCGAGCTCCCCAGTGGCCTGGGCCCCGAGAGTGGAAATGGTCGCCGAGGCCCAGGGCGTGGGGCTTCCGCGTGGCCCGTGAAGGGAACTGGGGAACCTCAAGGGACCCCCACAACTCCAGGCGCGAAAACCCCCGCATGGTGAGGAGCAGGCAAATGTGCAATACCAACATGTCTGTATCTACTGATGTAGCCACCTCACAGATTCCAGCTTCGGAACAAGAGACCCTGGCTAGACCAAAGCCATTGCTTATGAAGTTGTTAAAATCTGTTGGTGCGCAGAAAGACACTTACACCATGAAAGAGGACTTCTTGGGCCTAACCCTGGATCCCAGGTTAAGAACTTCTGCACTAGAGATACATGAGTACAGTATACTGATCTTTCTGGGATAGAGAAATCATTTCTATTTCAGGTTATATTTTATCTTGGCCAGTATATTATGACTAAACGATTATATGATGAGAAGCAACAACATATTGTATATTGTTCAAATGATCTTCTAGGAGATTTGTTTGGAGTGCCAAGCTTCTCTGTGAAAGAGCACAGGAAAATATATACAATGATCTACAGAAACTTGGTAGTAGTCAATCAGCAGGAACCATCAGACTCAGGTACATCTGTGAGTGAGAACAGATGTCACCTTGAAGGTGGGGGTGATCGAAAGGATCCTGTGCAAGAGCTACAGGAAGAGAAACCGTCATCTTCAAATTCGGTTTCTAGACCATCTACCTCATCTAGAAGAAGAGCAATTAGTGAGACAGAAGAAAATTTAGATGAATTGTCCTGTGAACGGCAAAGAAAACGCCACAAGTCTGATAGTATTTCCCTTTCCTTTGATGAAAGCCTGGCTCTGTGTGTAATAAGGGAGATATGTTGTGAAAGAAGCAATAGCAGTGAATCTACAGGGACTCCATCGAATCCGGATCTTGATGCTGGTATAAGTGAACATTCAGATGATCGGTTGGATCAGGATTCAGTTTCAGATCAATTTAGTGTAGAATTTGAAGTTGAATCTCTTGATTCAGAAGATTATAGCCTTAGTGAAGAAGGACAAGAACTCTCAGATGAAGATGATGAGGTATATCGAGTTACTGTGTATCAGGCAGAGGAGAGTGATACAGATTCATTTGAAGAAGATCCTGAGATTTCCTTAGCTGACTATTGGAAGTGTACTTCATGCAATGAAATGAATCCTCCCCTTCCACCACATTGCAACAGATGTTGGGCCCTTCGTGAGAATTGGCTTCCTGAAGATAAAGGGAAAGATAGAGGGGATGTCTCCGAGAAAGCCAAACTAGAAAACTCAACACAAGCAGAAGAGGGCTTTGATGTTCCAGATTGTAAAAAAACTACAGCGAATGATTCCAAAGAGTCATGTGTTGAGGAAAATGATGATAAAATCACACAAGCCTCCCAGACACAAGCCTCCCAGTCACAAGAAAGTGAGGACTATTCTCAGCCATCAACTTCTAATAGCATTATTTATAGCAGCCAAGAAGATGTCAAAGAGTTTGAGAGGGAAGAAACACAAGACAAAGAAGAAAGTATGGAATCTAGCTTTCCCCTTAATGCCATTGAACCTTGCGTGATTTGCCAAGGTCGACCTAAAAATGGTTGCATTGTCCATGGCAAAACAGGACATCTTATGGCATGTTTTACATGTGCAAAGAAGCTAAAGAAAAGGAATAAGCCCTGCCCAGTATGTAGACAACCAATTCAAATGATTGTGCTAACTTATTTCCCCTAGTTGACCTGTCCATAAAAGTAGAATTATATATTTCTAACTATATAACCCTAAAAGGCTAGACATCATGAAACTTATTTTTATTTACATGTATCAAAGTGAGAAAGTATCTCAGTCCATGAAGATTTCTTCTCTTTAGTGTAATTTACCTACTTTGGGAGAGGAACAGTAACTATT